AACTTAGCATGATGACAAGACCAGAGTAAATATACAACAAATGGTACTGTAAATGAATTCTTATTCTTATTTTTCATTTGTATAATGCAGATTGAAGATTGAGAATGGCACCTTAACTTTGTACACTCTCAGTAAAATGCTTTTTACTTACATATGGTCTAAGACCTTTCCCTTTTGTCAATAGCCCTCGATAGGAAACAGTGGTTCTCTAAACTTGATAAACATTTTCTTATACTTCTATTCTTATATCACTCTTATTTACTGAGTCAGTTGCTTTTTCCTTTATTTTCATTATGTCTGGTATTCTGTGGTAGATGTCTTAGTTTTCAATAGTAAGATAGTTCAGTTTTTCCCTTTACATTTTCTGTTAATGTGTATTTATTGTCTACTGGAAGACCTACCATAGATTAAAACAACCTTCTATTGTTGGGAAAGGCTCACTAAACTTCAGACCTTAAATTTATGGTTCTTTATGACAGCTATACAAATATTGTATAAATAAAATCATTCTTTTAAATTTTTGATTTTTAAGCAATTTTGGTTTTATTGCTTTTAGAAGAAAACAACTGACAACCCCAAAAAAGAAATGGTCATTGATCAACCAGTCTCATTTACTGCTCTTTATTTTCAGAGTGGCAGGCAGCATACCACCTTTTCAGCAGAATCAAGTCGGAGCCTTCTCATCTGTCTACTTTGGGTTCTCAAGAATGCAGATGAGACAGTTCTACAAAAGTGGTTTACAGATCTCTCAGTCCTGCAGCTGAACCGGCTATTAGATTTGCTTTATCTCTGTGTATCTTGCTTTGAGTACAAAGTAAGTGATGATCATGCCATTGCTAAGACAGGAGGCATAATGTAGAAAAGGAAGAAGAAAATTTCCTCAAAGCCTCTTCTTTTTTTTTTCTAATGTTAAAATTTTAGGGAAAGAAAGTATTTGAAAGAATGAATAGTTTGACCTTTAAGAAATCAAAAGACATGAGAGCAAAGCTTGAAGAAGCTATTCTTGGGAGCATAGGTGCTAGGCAAGAAATGGTGCGCCGAAGCCGAGGACAGCTTGGTACGTACACAATATCTTCTTATGGTGATAATTTTTGAGATTTCCATGTACTGTATATTTTTAAAGATCAGTTTTGGCTTCACAGCAAAATTGAGCTGAAGATACAGAGAGATTTCTCATCTGTCTCCTTCCCCCACACATGCACAACCTCCCCTGTTAGCAGCATCCCCCACCAGAGTGGGACACTAGTTACAGTGATGAACCCATGCTGACAGGTCAGTATCACCCAGAGTCCATAGCTTACATTAAGGTCTACTCTTGATGTCTACAGTCTTATGTAGTAAAACTTTTTACTCTTAGATGTTTCCAAGTTTGCACAGTGAATTAATATACTTTATATCTAAGGCAACGATATTGCCCATCAGACTCAAATATTGGGGAGAGAAAACATTATAGTAGCATTTGAGGCCTGTTTCTAATCCCAGGTCTGCTACCCATCAGCTATGTAACTTTGGCCAAGTCTTGATCTTCCCATTTTCCTTTTTCTCATCCACTTGTGATTGTTTTTGAGAATTTAAAAGGTAGTGTTATTAGCTGATCTTATCATCTTTGTAGTGACCATGAATGTGTAAACATTTCATGAATTCTAAGTTGACATACAAATAATTTGATTGTTGAGAGCTTCTTAAGATCAGGGATGTGGTTAGTCATCTGTGTACATGACACATACTAACAGCTCATTATAGATTTCTCACTTAAAAATATGAATGACTTAAAAATAATGTTTTCTTTTGGCCATTAACTAATTATTTATTTAAATAAACTTAAATACTTTTTATATTCTGTATGTGTTTGGAACTTAATGAATTAGACAAGTTCTTACCTTTCAAATTAATAGAGCACTTTTTTTTCACTGTAGTTGTACACAGTTTACAGTGTACCTATGGATTTCATTATAACTCACTTATGTACAACAACCCTCTAAAAAAGTATGAAATTAACTCTTATCAGGGTCATTTAATTATTACCAAACCTAATGAATGGTTGTCTTCTTTAAGATTAAGAAAGTAAAACTCACAAAGGTAAATAATTTGCCTAAGATCATAAAGTGACAAAACTTAGTTTTGACTTCAAACTTAGTGTTCTTTAAACCTTTAAAACCTAGTGAGTAAATAAACCTCAGCTTTTTTTAAGTTTATTGTTGGAAAGAGTGGAACTGTTTAATAATATGTTAGTTACATTTTTAAACCTGTGGCCTAGGACAGCTATATTGTTTGAGTGTAAAAACTGAAGTTCTGTATGTGGAATCTGAAAAACAAAACAATAACAAAAACTGAACTCTCTGATGCAGACAACAGTGAGTGGTTGCCAGAAGTGGGGAGCAAAAGGTGGGTGAAATAAGTAAAGATGGTCAAAAGGTACAAATTTCCATTTGTAAAATACATAAGTACTGGGATTGGAATGTAGTTTCTTTAGTTAATGATACTGTATTTGTACATTTGAAAGCTACTAAGTGGCTAGGCCTTAAAATTAAAGGTTCTCATCATAAGATTAAAAATTTATAACTGTGTAATGATGGATGTTAACTAGACATATTGTGATTTCATAATATTTACATATGTTGAATCATGTACAACTGAAGCTATATCATGTTATATGTCAGTTACATCTCAATTTTATTAAAAGAATTAAAGTTCTTAGAAAAATAAAGCCTTTACAAATTTTTACATACACTTGGACATTTAAGCTAGATCACCTAAAGATAGACATTCTGAACCAAGGACATGAGAGACAATTTCATGAAAAAAAAAAGTTAATGATGAAAATGTAAGTAGATCAGATATTTTATTATCTTTCCTAATATAATCTTTTTTGTTTTCTTTCACAAAATTTCTTAAAGATAGAAAATACAAAATAAAAGAGAGTAAAGAGAAGGGAAGAAAGAGAAGGCAGAAATATCCAGACATGTTCTTTATTGTATGGCAAGTTATATTTATTTTCTCAGTATTTCTTAAATTTGTACTTGAACTCTGAATTTTTTATTTCATTTTTCTTTCCATCCTCCTGACAATTTAGTCTCATGGTTTTCAAAAAGGAGCATTAGTTTTCTAGTTGAAAGCCTGAAGTCATGACTGATTCCATCATTTAAATGTGTATTTTCCTACAGTTCTCAATGCCTTCTCCACTTCTGCTGGATTTGTATGAATCATTTCTTTTTTTTTCTTTTAAAAATTTCAATGACATATTAACCCAGCATATGAAAATATTATTATTTCTATATGTAATCGATATAAAAAACTGAGATATTTTATCCTTTTTTCCCCATACACACCATATTTCAAGGTCTGTATTTTTTGGAAATATAGTTCATATACAATATTATATTGGTACTCAGACAGTTCCATTGCTCCTGTCCCTTGAAAGAGCCTGTACCATTCAATCTGCCTTCCATCCCAGAAATCTCATGGGAGAAAGCCCCTGTCTTCCTCTTGTCCTGCCTTATGTGAACCAAAGGAAGTAATTAATTTTGGAAATCTTATTTTGTTTACTTGTCAAACAAAAACTTACTGAGCTCTCAATATGTGCCAGACACTTGTCAGCCCTGGATGTAAAATGGTGGACAAAACAAACATAATCTCTGGTCATAAGTGCTATGGAGAGAAATAAAGCAAATTAAGAGGAAAGGAAGTGTTGGAGAGTTGGGGAAGGCCTTTCTGCAGAGGTGATGAATGATTGCCTAATGAAAATTTGTGGGAAGAATAGTCAGAGGAAGAAACAACCACCATTGCACAGGTCCTAAGTAGGAGGATATATAGTGAGATTAAATCAGGAGCACATACAGTGCAAGAATACATACACACATGCACACACACAGACACGATAACTGTGGTGGTAAAAGCATGAGGGAGAGTGTTAGGAAATAAGGCATATCATGTAGGACCATATAAGCATGGTTGATTATGATAAAATCAGTGTTAGGAAGTTTGCTTTAAATAAAAGAGTACTTGTTTTTTTATATTACATGTAGCAAATATATTTCTTCTGTAATTGTTATAAAATATGTAATAAAAAGTACCATTGTCAGGTTTTTCAACTTGAATTGATAAGATGACTGTGTATAAAATTAACAATTTTAATAATTTAAAATTACTATAAAAAAAAGTTTAATAATAAGCAGTATTTCTTACTGTTTGCAAATATACATATATATTCCAACTGAAATAACATTTTTTAAAAATGGTTTTGAAATTTATTTGACAGAGAGAAGCCCATCTGGAAGTGCCTTTGGAAGTCAAGAAAATCTGAGATGGAGAAAGGATATGACTCACTGGCGTCAAAACACTGAGAAGCTTGACAAGTAAGATAACCTATCTTACTGTTGGACTTGTTGGATTTCAAATGTAAGAGGAAAATGATTAACGTTAGCATCGTTTTATATATATATTTGATGTTAAAATCTTAGAAGATAAAAGTTATATTTAATTTTTAAATTTTAGATTAAAAAAGGTTTGGGAGAAGAATTTTCAAGTGGAATAGTAAAGCAAAATGTTACCTCAACAATCCTCCTTGGAAAAATGCACTCTGCAACTAGATTTTGAACATCACACTAAACTAAACAATTTCAAGGATTACAAATAATTAGAAAATCAATTTTTGCCTCCTTGGAACTTAAAATATAATTAAAGACAAAATGCTGTGTGTCTTCTGTTTCTAGTAAAGAGGCAAACCGGGTACACTGATCGTACTGCCAGAAATAACTAAAAAGGTACTGGCATCAAGTCCAGGATCCTCAAGGACTGCGCCTTCAGTGTAAGGGGAACTAGAAATAAACCCTTCTCACTGCCTAGCTGACCTCGGGCAAAATTCCTTTAAAGGGACCAAGATTTTTCTCTTAAGAATTTGTATTTATAGCGGGCAGCTGGGGCCGCCGGGACGAGCGAGGGGGGCGCGCGAGGGAAGGCCTCCCCGCCCAGCCTCGCCCAGACGCCCGCGCCTCCTTCCCATGGAAGCGGTGGCGCACCTCGCCCCCCGCGCCGCCTCCGGCGGCGAGAGCACAGCCACCGGGGCGCCCCTGCAGCGAGCGGCCGCTAACGGTTCCCCGCGCCCGACGCGCCCGCCCCTCGCCGCCGCCTGGCACCGCTCCGAGGCGCCCTCGGCCCTCCCACGCCCATCGCCCGCATGGCGCTCTGATAACTACAAACTTAATAGTGTCCGCTGTACCCATGGTGTAAACAGGACGGGCTACCTCATCTGCAGGTGGAAAGACTGTATCCCAGTTGGGCAGCGGATGCCAGGGACTCTTTCATTGTTTTCAAAGTTACTTTGAAAAAGAGGCAAATTTCTGGAGATGTGCGATGATTTCTTAGCTAGAGTGGAACCACCACTTCGTAGTGTTTTAGAACAAGCCAAGTGAAAGAAAGAAGGTATTTGTGCAGTGGAGATAGTTGGTGCAACACGAATCCCTGCAGTGAAAGAGAAGATCAGGAAATTTTTTGGTAAAGAACTTAGTACAACGTTAAGTGCTGATGAAGCTGTCACTCGAGGCTGTGCATTACAGTGTGCAATCTTATCACCTGCTTTCAAAGTCAGAGAATTTTCAATCACTGATGTGTTACCGTATCCAAAATCTGAGATGGAATTCTCCAGCTGAAGAAGGCTCAAGTGACTGTGAAGTTTTTAAAAAAAATCGTGCTGCTCCTTTCTCTAAAGTACTCACATTTTATAGAAAGGAACCTTTCACTCTTGAGGCATATTATAGCTCTCCTCAGGCTGTGTCCTATCCAGACCCTGCTATAGCTCAGTTTTTAGTTCAGAAAGTCACTCCTCAGTCTGATGGCTCCAGTTCAAAAGTGAAAGTCAAGGTCCGAGTAAATGTCCATGGTATCTTCAGTGTGTCCAGTGCCTCTCTAGTGGAAGTGCACAAGTTTGAGGAAAATGAGGAGCCGATGGAAACAGATCAGAATGCAAAGGAGGAAGAGAAGATGCAAGTGGACCAAGAGGAGCCACATGCTGAAGAGCAGCAGCAGACACAAGAAAATAAGGCAGAGTCCGAGGAGATGGAGACCACTCAAGCTGGATCAAAAGACAAAAAGATGGACCAACCACCTCAAGCCAAGAAGGCAAAAGTGAAGACCAATACCATTGACCTGCCAATTGAGAATCAGCTCTTATGGCAGATAGACCGAGAGATGCTCAACCTGTACATTGAGAATGAGGGTAAGATGATCATGCAGGATAAACTGGAGAAGGAGAGGAATGATGCTAAGAACGCAGTAGAGGAATATGTGTACGAAATGAGAGACAAGCTTAGTGGAGAATATAATAAGTTTGTGAGCGAAGATGATTGTAACAGTTTTACCTTGAAACTAGAAGATAACTGAAAATTGGTTATATGAGGATGGAGAAGACCAGCCAAAGCAAGTTTATGTTGATAAATTGACTGAATTAAAAAGTCTAGGTCAGCCTATTAAGATGCGATTCCAGAAATCTGAAGAAAGACCAAAATTATTTGAAGAAGTAGGGAAACAATCCAACAGTATATGAAAGTAATCAGCTCTTTTAAAAACAAGGAGGACCAGTATGACCATTTGGATGCTGCTGACATGACGAAAGTGGAAAAAAGCATGAATGAGGCCATGGAGTGGATGAATAACAAGCTGAATCTGCAGAACAAGCAGAGCCTGACCATGGATCCAATTGTCAAGGCAAGAGATATAGAAGCTAAAATTAAGGAGCTGACAAATATCTGTAGCCCTATAATTTCAAAGCCAAAACCCAAAGTGGAACCTCCAACAGAGGAGCAAAAAAATGCAGAGCAGAATGGACCCGTGGATGGACAAGGAGACAGCCCAGGCCCTCAGGCTGCGGAGCAGGGTGCAGACACAGCTGTGCCTTCAGATTTAGACAAGAAGCTTCCTGAAATGGACATTGATTGATTCCAGCAATTGTTTATATTAAAACAGACTATTGTATATTAAAAAAGAATTTGTATTTATAAGTTAGCCCTGGCCCAAAGAACTTTGAGAATATGGTGACCAACTCACTCTGGTTTGCCTGGTACAATTGTAGCACTAAATGTCCCATGTCTCGGGGAACTTCTCAGTCCTTTCTAAAGCAAGCCAGGATGATTGATCACCCTATCTGAGAACCATCTTCAGCCTAGACTCTAGTGGATTCTCACAAATAAACTTCCAGAAATATAACTCACAGACAGTAAAATCATAAAACACAGGAAACAAGCCCTATGCAAGCCAGCAGAGAAGCAGCATGCTTGCCACCATATAAATGAGAATTTGGTATTATCAGAAACTGTCTTTGTCTTTTTGGGCTGCTATAACAAAATATTACACACCAACAGGGTCACTTACAAACAGCAGAAATTTATTTATCACAATGCTGGAGTCTTGGGAAGTCCAAGATGGTGGTGTCAGTAGATTTGGTGTCTGGTGGAAGCCCTTTTCCAGGTTACAAATTTCTCATTGTGTGTCCTCAGTTGGTGGAAGGGCAAGCAAACTTCCAGGGGCCTCTTCTATAAAGTCACTAACCACATTTAAGAGGGCTCTGCTCTGATAACCTAATCACCTTCCAGAGACCTCACTCACCTCCTAACACCATTTACCTTGGGCATTAGATTATCAGTGTATCTGAGTTTGAAGGGGACAAAATATTCAGACCATAACAGATACTGAATAGAATATAAATATGTTAAAATTCTTAAGTTTGGAGTGTTTGCTTTTCTCTCCTCTCTACCCAAATTCTTTCTTTATTTTTCTATGTGTTTTGTTTTTTAGAAATTCTAAAGCAGCCAGGTACTAATTAGTATATTGTTTTATTTCTGCATTTGTATAATGAATATTCTCTGCTTATCTTGCTGTGTTTTAAAGAAGCCTTTTTTGAGGTGTTTTCTGGATTCTTTTTGTTTAAACTATTATGTTATTGACATGTTCCTTTACAAAATCTCACTGGAATTTTAAGTTTTAACATTATATATTTTCTTTTCCAATTTAATTCTAACCATTTTATATTTTCTCCTTAAATTTAATTTATAAAATGTAAATTCGTGAACTGTTCTCTTTAGCGATAGTAATAAAGATCAAAGATTTGAACATCCAAGAACCTTGAAAAGTTAGCATTTAATATGTCCCTGTACTTTTGCTTTATGTGCTGTTTTGTCTACTTAGATGTAATTTATAGTTTCTCTGTATGTACTGCTACTAAAATACCAACTTTACCCATAAATCATATGGAGTTATTCTTAAATTTATTTTCATTAAACAATGCTTTTATAAATATTAGTATTCAACTAAACTACTTTATTGCATCAGTTTGCTTTGTTTCTAATGACTGTTCCATCCAGAGTGTCATTGAAGAGTTAAATCATTTTCTATAATAGTCAAAATTTTTGTATCAGAATTGTTTGTATCTTTTGACTCAAAAATTTTGAGAAATTAGATGAAACTTTGGCGGGGAGAAGTACTTTATCCTAAATAAATACATTGAAAGTTCTTGATATGACAAGATGAATGCTAAACATTTTGAATATTACTTATATGAAGTAGCCCTAAATACAAGCCCACATAGCACCACCTAGTGTCTTCCATTCAGAAAAAATGTAGGGTAAAACAAAGCATTTTTCAATGTGTAAAGTACCTTTAGAAAACTAGTCTCGTGATTTTTTATTCAGGCAAATATTGAAAAATATTTCCAAGTTTTTTATTTCTGTGCATCTTTAAGTCTTTTTTTTTGATCTATTGGCTTTTTTAAAAGATAAATGTAATTTCTTAAAATATTTTGTGTTAGATCTAAAGCGGAGATTGAACATGAAGCACTGATTGATGGAAATTTGGCTACTGAAGCAAATCTAATCATTTTGGATACGTTAGAGATTGTTGTCCAGGTAAGAACACAAAAAAGAGGATTTCAGAGTACAGATCTGGTAAATTAGGGTTGGAGAAAGAGTATTTATTGAGCCATATAATTACTTTTAATTATTGGTAGTTCTTAGAAGTTTGATCCTTGCTCCCCTTTCACTAAATACCACCCATTCTTTTTTCTCCTGTTCTTCTCTTACCCAAATTCTGCTCAGCTTCTTTTCCTTCAAGTCCTCCTAGATCTTATATTGTCATTTTCCTATTTGTAACAAATGTATTTGTTTACTTACACATATTCTATCTCCTTAAACAAATTACATTTACATCTCTATTTTATTTATTTATTTTTAAATTACAGACAGTTTCTGTAACAGAATCCAAAGAAAGCATCCTTGGTGGGGTGCTAAAAGTACTGCTGCATAGCATGGCCTGTAACCAAAGTGCGGTTTATCTACAACACTGCTTTGCTACACAGAGAGCCCTGGTTTCAAAGGTAGGTTATTTTTGTACCTGCAGTCTTATCATACTTTGCTTTCTTTATTAAGATTGCCTAAGATTATTTGACACATTGGTTGGTTAATATATAGTTAAAATTTTAATAATAACCTAAGACTCTTGGTTCTTCCTTGCCTTGCTTCTATTGCTTGCCTTTTGGAATTTCTTTCTTATTTGGATCACCTTTAACTAGTTCCTGGCTTAAAAAATAGTAGTTGTGATATAGAGAAGGGCCTGAAATTAATAGCTAATTTTAAATATGGGGCTTTTCTTTTTTCTCTTCATTATATTCTGTCTGTTCCTTATTTGATTTATCAAGAATTGAATGTGTGGCTAGTTCAGTCATTGAAATTGGCTTATCCTGTGGTAAATGGACAAGAAGGTACTTTTGTTTGTTTAACTATTCAAATATTTGTTTCCTATGATTATTTTCCCTTAGAAATAGGTATGTTCTTAAACCTTGAAGGTAGTTAATTCATCTTAGTCATCTTACAAGATGGCATGCAGAATTTTTGATGAAACTTAATCAGTGAAAATATATATACTATTTTATAATAATAAAAACATACAGAATTATTGCATGTTGGTTACTATTCTAAGTGTTTTATGCACATTACCTAATGTAAGACAGTTATGAAATCCTATGTAGATAATAATATTAGGCCCATTTTTGGATGAGAAAACTTGTCCAATGTCACATAACTAGCTTGTAAGTAGCATCATCAGTATTCAAACCCAGTCTGTCTGGCCTTGTGATCCACATTATTAACAATTAGCAAATACTGTCTCTTCCATCCTTTTGCTTTCTGGACTATACCCAACAAATCTGTAGTTTAGGCTATATTAACAATCTCTGGAACTTTCACTGCATAAATTTAGTGTTGTGTTGTATTTTTACAGTTCCCTGAACTGTTGTTTGAAGAAGAGACAGAGCAGTGTGCTGATTTATGCCTCCGGCTTCTCCGACACTGTAGTAGTAGCATCGGTACAATACGGTCGCATGCTAGTGCCTCCCTTTACCTACTTATGAGACAAAACTTTGAGATTGGGAATGTAAGTATTTTATTTCTGGACTTTCTCCCTGGATTTATAATGAAATATAACTTCTGCAGATACCTTGTTAATGGATTTTGGGGGAAGCATGGACTTTTTTGTATATTTGAGTCTAATCTTAGACTAGCTTGATGTTTCTCATTCTGTGGATGTCTTATAAAAATCTGAATCTCCAGTTTTGCTTCCTACTAAAAGTAACGTAATAATATAGACTTAGAATATATGTAACATATAATAATATGTAATAATATAGACAGAATATAAATATATGTTGAGCTGTTGTAAATTGTAATTATTATTATTAATTAAAACAAAAGGTTCTGATATATATTTTCAGTACTTTTATTTTGTGAGTATTTTGTAATTTGTTTGTATTTTTTTAACCCAAAGAGATAACAGTTCTTTTTGTTTTAAATTTTTGATAGTTTTTTGTTTTATTGCAATGTGCTTATACAGTATATGTACACTGTGTCTCCTGTTTTCTACTGAGGATGTATGTGTATGTCTAAACATAGGATATTTTTGTGAATGTTACATAAGTATTTAAAAAGTAGTATTCTTTATTTTCACAGTATTTAGTTAAACTAAAAAGTACAACTTAGTAATGACATTATTCTGTTTTTCTATATCCTTATTTATTTTTGGTCCAGTTGGTGGACTGAAAGAGGTGACATAAAGCCAATATACATTGTCTATTTTTCCTTGAGCTATTATTTGGTGAATCGATATTATGCATACCTACTTGATATGTTGCTATTTATAACTATTATATCTTCTTATGATTATTCCCTTTAGAATTAAGGATCTGAATTGGTTTCATTTAAAACTTCTATTTTTTGGCCTGAATTCCACCTTATATTGTATTAAGATACCTCTGCTTTCCTTTTAATTTGAACTTGCTTCAGTTACTTTTGCCTGTCCTTACATTTTCACTTTTTTGAATCAGTTTGTTTTAGTTGTGCCTCTCATACAACATAGAATTGAGTTTTGCTTTATAATCCAATCTCTAAGTTAAATTAAACCTTTTCATACTTGTCATTATATCAATATGTCCTGGAATTCTGTTGTATTTTTTTGTTATGCCTCCCCCACAACTTTTTATTTAAAAAATTTTTGTTGTAAGTTTTCATTTTGCATATTGTGGTCAGATCACCTTATTTTTGGATGTAATGTTTATCCTATTTAGGAAAATTGATGTTGCTCTAATGATTACTTTTATAATTATATAAGACCTTTAGTCCTCTATTTCTTTAGGTCATGCATTTTTCAATGGAGACAATATTGCCACCAAGTGAGTGAAAATTAGTTCTTGGGGGACTGAAAAAAAAATCTTAGCTATCACAATGGTTTTATAGCGCTAAAGCTCAACTCTTACCCATCGGCATCTCATTCTTTAGTATTTATTTTTCTCATTGGGTTTTATTTTATATCACATGAGTAATGTTTGACATTAAGCTCTTGGAAGATAAACAAAATGTATGCAAAAGTGGTGCTATAAACTGTGGAGAATAAATGAC